ACGACGAATTTCCAAAAAATGATTCTTAAATATTTTTGTTTATAGTCTTTTTTTGTTAGATTATTGGGAAGAAAGTTCTGCAAGAAGAACAAATTCCATCATTTAACTATACCATATGTTGTTAAAGAGCTGCAAGTATGTCTTTCTTGGTGTGTCCAAGCTTTCTAAGCAATGAGGTATAACGCCATTTTCTTCTTTTTGAACGCTGGGACATTTGCCTGAGACACATCAACAGCTTTTCTGTTGTCTGCTAAAGAGATTCCTGTTCTTACAGCTAAATATAAATATTTTTGTTAATCAAGGCTATTTTGCAACCAAATTAGATAGAATGTTTGAGATTCTTAGATCGAGCTTTCGATAGTAATTGACAGGACATTGTTTTTTTTAAGCTATGGGCCCACTTGTAGAAGTAAAATTTATTGTATTACCTGAGTGCGAAATAAGTTTGTAATGGCTATGTTCTTGAGCCTGAGTTTCCCTACTCCTTGAAACTGGCTTGTAAGGTTTTCTGGGAGCCGAATGCTTGTACCCTTTCTTATGAAACTCATTGCGGCATCAGAAGTGAGAAAATGCAATTCTTTGAGGTCCGCTTTATATAACTTTTAACAAAGGGAAAAACTTTGCACCTATATTCTTTAAGAATTTTATTAAACAAATCTTGGTTAAAAGATTCAATCGATATGTTAAGAACACAAGTCCGAAAATTAAAACTCCTAGTAATGAACTTCCCCAAGAAGTTCAGACAATACATAGGGTGGGATGAGTAGCTATATTCTATCACGAACAACTTCTCAACCAAAGTTTGTATTTAGGGATATGTCACATGGAGAGATTTTTGGTCGCGAGTCTTTGTGATTCGCTCTTTCTCGACGTACATTACTCACTTAAATGTGGAGAATAGCCAGTATAAGCCTAGATAACATAAAGTAATGAATAACGATATGTACCCTATCAGAATTCAATTTTTTGATGATAAGATATAAAGGAAAAGTAGGCAATAAAAAATGCAAATGCTTCGTCATTAATCTGCAGAGTGCAGATGTTGAAAAATTTTATATTATTCTTGGAAGTTGAAAGAAGACTTGAATATAGTCAGATATTTTCCGAAGGTATGCTTAAAGTGTATTCCTAGCAAATAATGTTGGATTAGGAGGAATATCTTACTTTCATACACCTTTACATGCAAACCTTACAAAAAGATGTAAGCAGCAGTCTTGTGTTTTCATAACCTACACATTTTGAATGGCATACAACTTAAAACCTGCTTCAGTCTACAAGGTCGCGTTGTTGACTCGATTTGTATCCCTTTTTTGCTCCTGTTGGGAATCTCTCTCTTATGAATTTATATATGCAGGCTGGGAGAGGTCGGGCATTATCGTATCCAAGAAAGCCAAACATCCAGCGAATAAGCCATCTGTATGCAACAGCTCTTAAAAATCTGCAAGAAAGATAAGATGCTTTGTAGAATTATCAAGAGGTTTCTTGACCTAACATTTAGTTTAATCAAGGAAAAATTGCTTTATGTATAATGAATTCAAGATTTCAGTTGGAATATTGTCTCTTACTGTAGTCTCTAATTGCTTTAACTTTATTATTGCTTATATAACTAACTTATGTACAAAATAGTTAATTCACATGTCTTATTCCAATTTTTCAAAGCCATTTTTAAAGAGTTTACTGTGGAACGCCTTACTATCTAAAGACTGTTTTCCAGCATCTGTATATTGCAATAAATATAGCATAAAGACTGTGTGGCAATTGTGTCAAATTTTGGCCTTCATTTTTCTTTGAGGAAATTCCACTCTCCTGGATAAAATTTTTTTATAAACCTACTCATTTTCTGTTTGATTTGCTTGACGCTTGTAGCATTTTCCATCCCTAGTTTTGAAAAGAGATCCAGCAAGTTTTAGGACAGTTTTGTTTGATAAAGCAGAGAAATCTGGATGATTAGTAACACATCTCAGTTCTTCTGCTGTGCCCTGAAATACCAACTGTCCAATAGCCTGTTGTACCTCCCAACAGCATCTGTATTCCCTAGAAGCGACTAGGCCTTCAACAGAGCATTTCCCACAATGACACCTAGGAGTTCAATTGAAGATATTTAAATAAATATATGCACAAATAAGTTAACATTGTTTATGCATATCAAAGATATTCCTTTGGGTTGCTTGCAACCATTTGTTAAACAGGTTAACCAAGGCCTTCATTTACTTTATGCTTTGCTGCGAAACCTTAGAATTAAAAAAACAAAATAAAAAATAAAGTTGATTAAAATAGGCCCAATTTTTTAAAATTATTACTTTGATTAAATATTGACTGGTAAAACTTCATTTGATTATAAAATATTGCCACTTCCCCTCATAAAGCACCCCTACCACATCCTATTTTATTGCTGTTGTTAAAAATCTCCAGTTATTGTTTGACTGTAATTGAACTTTTCTCGTAACAAGGAGGTAGCATAGAAATTTTCAGGAAACTCAGTGATCTTTCGATTTAACTAAGGTCTCATCTACAGTTACCTTTCTTCAAATTTTACTCGAAACACGTTACATTTTTTGTTTACTTACGTACGCGCGCCTGTAGTAAAATATAGGCCTATGTCTAGGCCATCTACACTTTACTTTGAACGTCAATCTTATCTTATGGAGGATGAGGTTATAGGAATAGAAAATATTAACAAAATATTATATGCCATTTAACCTACCATTCCTCAATTGGCACCCTTCTTTCGTACCTTGCTTCCAGAGCCTCGAACGGAATTCCATCGATGTCAGGGTCATCGTCGGCCAGTCCTTCGCTACTCGATGACGAAGCAAGAGGCTCATCCTGATAGGGCTCAAAACTAGTTGCCACGTCACACTGTTGCTGCTCTATTCTATCGTGATCAAGGATAGTCTCGTCGTCACTTGTTGTTGCAAAAGAGACATCTGAATTATCCGTCTCTGACATCGATACGTTCCTTCTGCCTCGTTATTCCTCGAAGTACGTTGTTGTGAATTGGGTTGGCGGATTGTATAAATCAGAATGCGTCACTCGCCCCAGGCCTTTTTCACAAAACCATGGGGCAAATAAACCCCCCCAAAACGCCTTTCCCTTTATCAAAATGCAAAAATAATGCTGCCAATCGAATCAGCGGTAATTGTTTCATAGAACAAGCGCATTAAAAGAGGAAAAATATTTTTTGTCAAAAGTAGTTCAGTGGCACTTTAAGGTCCAAATTCGTCGAAAAGGGGGCCGCTTGCATATAATTTTTACGAAGCTTGCAATGTTTTACCAATTTTCAACAAAAAAGACGCGCATCTTGCTAGAAAATCTCTTCTCGGTGTCAAAATTCGTCGAAAAGGGGGCCGTTTGCAAATAATTTTTACAAAGCTTGCAATGTTTTCCAATACTTCAACAGAGAATACAGGCATTTTGCTAGAAAATCTTTTCACGGTGTCAAAGTTCTTTGAAAAGGGGGCGTTTGCATATAATTTTTACGAAGTTTGCAATGTTTTACCGATTTTCAACAGAGAAGACAGGAATTTTGCTACAAAATCTTTTCTCGGTGTCAAAATTCGTTGAAAAGGGAACCGTTTGAGTATATTTTTTACGAAGTTTGCAATGTTTTCCAATTTTTCAACAGAGAAAACAGGCATTTTTTTAGAAATTCTTTTCTCGGTGTCAAAATTCGTCAAAAAGGGGGCCGTTTGCATATAATTTTTACGACGCTTGCAATGTTTTCCAATTTTTCAATGGAGAAGATGAGCATTTTGCTAGAAAACCTTTCTTAAAGTCAACATTCGTCGAAAAGGGGGCCGTTTGCATATAATTTTTACGAAGCTTGCAATGTTTTCCAATTTTTCAAAGGAGAAGATGACCATTTTGCTAGAAAATCTTTTCTCCGTGTCAAAATTCGCGAAAAGGGGGCTGTTTGAGTTTAGTTTTCACGAAGCTTGCATTGTTTTCCAATTTTTCAATGGAGAAGATGAGCATTTTGCTAGAAAACCTTTCTTAAGGTCCAAATTCGTCGAAAAGGGGGCCGCTTGCATATAATTTTTACGAAGCTTGCAATGTTTTACCAATTTTCAACAAAAAAGACGCGCATTTTGCTAGAAAATCTCTTCTCGGTTTCAAAATTCGTCGAAAAGGGGGCCGTTTGCAAATAATTTTTACGAAGCTTGCAATGTTTTCCAATACTTCAACAGAGAATACAGGCATTTTGCTAGAAAATCTTTTCACAGTGTCAAAATTCGTCGAAAAGGGGGCGTTTGCATATAATTTTTACAAAGTTTGCAATGTTTTACCGATTTTCAACAGAGAAGACAGGCATTTTGCTAGAAAATCTTTTCTCGGTGTCAAAATTCGTTGAAAAGGGAACCGTTTGAGTATATTTTTTACGAAGTTTGCAATGTTTTCCAATTTTTCAATGGAGAAGATGAGCATTTTGCTAGAAAACCTTTATTAAGGTCGACATTCGTCGAAAAGGGGGCCGTTTGCATATAATTTTTACGAAGCTTGCAATGTTTTCCAATTTTTCAAAAGGGAAGACGGGCATTTTGCTATAAAATCTTTTCTCCTAGTCAAAATTCGTCGAAAAGGGGGCCGTTTGCATATAATTTTTACGAAGCTTGTAATGTTTTCCAATTTTTCAACAGGGAAGACAGGCATTTTGCTAGAAAATCTTTTCACGGTGGCAAAATTCGTCGAAAAGGGGGACGTTTGCATATAATTTTTACGAAGTTTGCAATGTTTTACCGATTTTCAACAAAAAAGACGCGCATTTTGATAAAATATCTTTTCTCGGTTTCAAAAGTCGTCGAAAAGGGAGCCGTTTGCATATAATTTTTACGAAGTTTGCAATGTTTTCCAATTTTTTTCAATGGAGAAGATGAGCATTTTGCTAGAAAACCTTTCTTAAGGTCGACATTTGTCAAAAAGAGGGTCCTTTGCATATAATTTTTACAAAGTTTGCAATGTTTTCTAATTTTTTAACAGAGAAAACAGGCATTTTTTTAGAAATTCTTTTCTCGGTGTCAAAATTCATCAAAAAGAGGGCCGTTTGCATATAATTTTTACGACGCTTGCAATGTTTTCCAACTTTTCAACAGAGAAGACGGGCATTTTGCTAGAAAATCTTTTCTCGGTGTCAAAATTCGTCGAAAAGGGGGCCGTTTGCAAATAATTTTTACGAAGCTTGCAATGTTTTCCAATTTTGCAATGGAGAAGATGAGCATTTTGCTAGAAAACCTTTCTTGAGGTCGAAATTCGTCGAAAAGGGGGTCCTTTGCATACAATTTTTACGAAGCTTGCAATGTTTTCCAATTTTTCAACAGAGAAAACAGGCATTTTTTTAGAAAATCTTTTCACGGTGTCAAAATTTGTCGAAAAGGGGGCCGTTTGTATATAATTTTTACGAAGCTTGCAATGTTTTCCAATTTTTCAACAGAGAAAATAGGCATTTTTTTAGAAATTCTTTTCTCGGTGTCAAAATTCGTCAAAAAGGGGGCCGTTTGCATATAATTTTTACGACGCTTGCAATGTTTTCCAATTTTTCAAAAGAGAAGACAGGCATTTGGCTAGAAAATCTGTCTGAGGGTCAAAATTTCTCGAAAATTCGACCATCTGCATATAATTTTTACGAAGTTTGCAATTTTTTCTAATTTTTCAACAGAGAAGACAGGCATTTTGCTAGAAAATCTTTTCACGGTGTAAAAATTCGTCGAAAAGGGGGCCGTTTGCATATAATTTTTACGACGCTTGCAATGTTTTCCAATTTTTCAACAGGGAAGACAGGCATTTTGCTAGAAAATCTTTTCACGGTGTCAAAATTCGTCGAAAAGGGTGCCGTTTGCATATAATTTTTACGAAACTTGCAATGTTTTCCAATTCTTCAACAGCGAAGACAGGCATTTTGCTAGAAAATCTTTTCTTGGTGTCAAAATTCGTCGAAAAGGGGGCCGTTTGCATATAATTTTTACGACGCTTGCAATGTTTTCCAATTTTTCAAAAGAGAAGACAGGCATTTGGCTAGAAAATCTGTCTGAGGGTCAAAATTTCTCGAAAATTTGACCATCTGCATATAATTTTTACGAAGTTTGCAATGTTTTCTAATTTTTTAACAGAGAAGACGGTCATTTTGCTAGAAAATCAGTCTGAGGGTCAAAATTTGTCGAAAATTGGACCATCTGCATATAATTTTTACGAAGTTTGCAATGTTTTCCAATTTTTCAACAGAGAAGACGGGCATTTTGCTAGAAAATCTTTTCTTGGTGTCAAAATTCGTCGAAAAGGGGGCCGTTTGCAAATAATTTTTACGAATCTTGCAATGTTTTCTAATTTTTCAAAAGAGAACATGACCATTTTGCTTGAAAACCTTTCTTAAGGTCGAATTTGTCCAATTGGGGACGTTTGCATATTATCTTCACGGAGTTTGCAATGTTTTCTAATTTTTCAACAGAGAAGACAGGCATTTTGCTAGAAAAACTTTTCTCGGTGTCAAAACTCGTCGAAAAGAGCGCCGTTTGCATATAATTTTTACGAAGCTTGCAATGTTTTCCAATTTTTCAACAGAGAAAAGAGGCATTTTTTAGAAAATCTTTTCACGGTGTCAAAATTCGTCGAAAAGGGTGCCGTTTGCATATAATTTTTACGAAACTTGCAATGTTTTCCAATTTTTCAACAGAGAAAACAGGCATTTTTTTAGAAATTCTTTTCTCGGTGTCAAAATTCGTCAAGAAGGGGGCCGTTTGCATATAATTTTTACGACGCTTGCAATGTTTTCCAATTTTTCAACAGGGAAGACAGGCATTTTGCTAGAAAATCTTTTCACGGTGTAAAAATTCGTCGAAAAGGGGGCCGTTTGCATATAATTTTTACGAAGTTTGCAATGTTTTACCGATTTTCAACAAAAAAGACGCGCATTTTGCTAGAAAATCTTTTCTTGGTGTCAAAATTCGTCGAAAAGGGGGCCGTTTGCATATAATTTTTACGAAGCTTGCAATGTTTTCCAATTTTTCAACAGAGAAAACAGGCATTTTTCTAGAAAATCTTTTCACGGTGTCAAAATTTTTCGAGAATTGGACCATTTGCATATAATTTTTACGAAGTTTGCAATGTTTTCTAATTTTTCAAAAGAGAACATCACCATTTTGCTTGAAAACCTTTCTTAAGGTCGAATTTGTCCAATTGGGGACGTTTGCATATTATCTTCACGGAGTTTGCAATGTTTTCCAATTTTTCAACAGAGAAGACAGGCATTTTGCTAGAAAAACTTTTCTCGGTGTCAAAACTCGTCGAAAAGAGGGCCGTTTGCATATAATTTTTACGAAGCTTGCAATGTTTTCCAATTTTTCAACAGAGAAAACAGGCATTTTTTTAGAAAATCTTTTCACGGTGTCAAAATTCGTCGAAAAGGGGGCCGTTTGCATATAATTTTTACGAAACTTGCAATGTTTTCCAATTTTTCAACAGAGAAAACAGGCATTTTTTTAGAAATTCTTTTCTCGGTGTCAAAATTCGTCAAAAAGGGGGCCGTTTGCATATAATTTTTACGACGCTTGCAATGTTTTCCAATTTTTCAACAGGGAAGACAGGCATTTTGCTAGAAAATCTTTTCACGGTGTAAAAATTCGTCGAAAAGGGGGCCGTTTGCATATAATTTTTACGACGCTTGCAATGTTTTCCAATTTTTCAACAGGGAAGACAGGCATTTTGCTAGAAAATCTTTTCACGGTGTAAAAATTCGTCGAAAAGGGGGCCGTTTGCATATAATTTTTACGACGCTTGCAATGTTTTCCAATTTTTCAACAGGGAAGACAGGCATTTTGCTAGAAAATCTTTTCACGGTGTCAAAATTCGTCGAAAAGGGGGCCGTTTGCATATAATTTTTACGAAACTTGCAATGTTTTCCAATTTTTCAACAGAGAAAACAGGCATTTTTTTAGAAAATCTTTTCACGGTGTCAAAATTTGTCGAAAATTGGACCATTTGCATATAATTTTTACGAAGTTTGGAATGTTTTCTAATTTTTTAACAGAGAAGACGGGCATTTTGCTAGAAAATATCTTCTCGGTGTATAAACTCGTCGAAAAGAGGGCCCTTTGCAAATAATTTTTACGAATCTTGCAATGTTTTCTAATTTTTCAAAGGAGAACATGACCCATTTGCTTCAAAACCTTTCTTAAGGTCGAAATTCGTCCAATTGGGGACGTTTGCATATTATCTT